CATAGAAATAATGACCAAACTAAATGTATGGTGTAAATGTTGAATATTTCCTATTCTATAAGGCACACATTGCATGTTTATGTCTACATTTTTATTTTCTGTTTTTAGATGATCAGCATTTATATGCATTCTAATGATAAAATTCAGATTATGGACTTAATGCATTTTCTTGAATCGTCATTCCTATCAGCTATCTGTCAAATAACAAGCTGAAGAGTCTGCCAAACGGACTTTTCAACAGCCTTTCCAAGTTGATACATCTGTAAGTGAAATGGTTATTTAACAATGGAGATAATTGGGAAGAATCAAATTATCGTTTTTATGACATTGTCTACAAAAGCACAGCCATCACAGATCAAACATCCTCAAGTTTTCCAGTTTGACTTTGTAAATCTGATTAATTGAATAACAGAATGCTATTTTAAGCAGCTGATGTGCTTTGTTAAGTAACGTCACGGTACTTGGGGGTTTAAACGTTTGAAGGCTTCAGTTCAAATAGCAGCCTCAAGAACTTCTAGATTTCTTCTAAAGTACCAGCTTTTAACATATGGTAAACCATTAACTTACGGCTGCACCAGTGACAATGTTGATAATGGTTATAATAATAGTGATAATAATAATAATAATAATAATAATAATAATAACAATAATAATAGTAATGATAGTAAAAATAATAATAGTTGTGATGATAGAAATGATTTAGCATCTTTCTTGTACTGGTGAGGTTGCAATTTTTTCTTTAAGCTATTTTTTTGTTTCTTTTCCCTTTTTTTTTTTTTAATTTATTGCCGTGAGGATTTTCCCTCCGAAAAAGTCGAAGGTGGATATTTCCTTGAACGGCTTGTTTTTCCATTTTGTATGAGGGAAACATATTTCATGTCATTCTTTTCTTAAAAGATGTCTCTGATGCTCTCATGTTCTTGTTGCTCTTCATTATGGCGTTCTTAGCAAGTGTAATATGCTAAGGTCTTCTTGAGCTGGATTTTAACAGATAAGACTTCTTCCAGGGAATATATCCTAAGGATTTGGGGGATATAAACTGAAAAGGGGAAGCCACTACACATGTAATAAGACACTTTTGGAAAAATTTTCACGAAAAACTGCCTTAATTATTATTCTATGAATCAGTTGAGATGGTAATTCTATCGTTAGCGAATTCCTTGTAACTGTAGTAATTTTTTAGGGATTTGTCAAACAATGAACTTGGAAATCTGCCGCCGCACATCTTCAGAAAAATTACAGCGGTAGAATTTCTGTGAGTAAGATTCTTATTGACATCAAAGATTGAAAATGA